GGGAGATTTTCTGTCTAGAGGTTGTAGCTAATAAACACAGTAGAACTGGATTTGCATTGTCACTTGGAGTTCTTTGGGCTAAATCTGACACTTCCCAGGTTAAAACTTAGTACATCTACAAATGCAGCTGTGAGGCCTTCAAATGAACTAGCTCTTGTGTCAGCTTATATCACAGTAAGATGGTTCCCCCCTCCCCTCTTGCAAGCAAGTAACAGCCAGTGCAGTCACGGAAAGGCGGAAGCCATCTTCCCATGACACTATTGCGTCACACAATGGGAAAGAGAAGAACAGAACAACCAGCAGCAAGGTGGACGGACTGAATTACAGCAGCGATAGGTGCATTGTTGGAAGAACTGAAAGATCAGATTAGGGGAAGATTGTCTATGTGTTCACTACGAATTCACACTGACTTGATGGCACATAATCAACATGAAGACCTAGCTCTCTTGAAAAGTCCATAATGTTGGGGAAAATGGAAGGAAAGAGAAGAGGATGACCAGCAACAAGGTGGATGGACTCAGTTACAATAGTGATAAGTGCACCATTGGAAGACCTGAAGGAACCAGGTTGGGGACAGATCCTCTGGAGAAGGTTTATCTGGTTGCTAAGAGTTGACACTGATTCAGAGCCTCCTAACCAATCAGTCAGCAAGCTTGAGAGAAGGCATGGGGTCAAGTAGGAGTGAGTGAGTAATAGAGCAAGCTCCATCTCAGATTAGTACTGCAAGAGAAGAACAATACTGCAGCAAGTGACCAAGGAGTCAAGTTCTGCATTCATGGCCAGCAGCATCAGGAAGAGAAATGACCAATCATTTTACCACCCACTGACAGTTTATCTGTGATAAAAATTCTCCTTAATGCTTGGTAAGAGATGCTGGTGGCCAAACAACTTGGAATGGTTTGATACCCTGGATGTGAAACTGAAGGCAGAAGAGTCAGGGTTGGTAGCAACCCAGATGAATAAAAGATAGTTTAAGAAAAGACAAGGCACAACAAGAAGCAGCTGGGGACAAGGGACT